TTATGTAATAGTTCAAGTGTTGAGACTGGAAAAACTCAAGGGTTTATGGGAAGTTGGAGCTGCTGATTTATTATTGTGTGACTCTTTGATTTCCATAGAACTCAAGAGTTTATGCATATACGTGAAGAAAAAGGATTTAATGTGTTTAGGTTCTAAGAATTCAAATGGTCATTTATTTAGGTTATTAGTTAGCGGCATAATAATTACATTGTGTATTTAATGATAAAAATAAAAAAAAATTATAAAAAATTGTGATGTGATGACACATCGATCTACTAAATATCAAACAAATATGATAAAAATAATGATAACGATTAAATTTAAATTAAAAATTAAATTTGATTAGAAAAGTAATACTTAAATTTTCAGATACTTATATTTTTATATATAGATAATAGATTATTTTATTAGTTAAATTTATGAAACTTTTTATTTTCCTAAATGACTAAAAAAATGTTCTTTTATTTATTTTTTAAATATTAAGCCGTTGAAAAAAAAAAGAAAAAACAAAAAAATTGCTTTAATCCATTTATGAAAAAAAAATGGTGCACCCCATTAACAAGGGTAAACATGTCAAAAAGAAAAAGGCATGTATGACCGGAATGATTCACATACTACTTAATTCCCAAATCCAAACTTGTTGCGTTAAATTTAAGTTCACACTTTAACAAATCGCCGCCTCCCAACTCGGAGGAGGGTTCCCTTTTCCTCGAATTTAAGGCTATAAATTCAATATCGGTGTAGAAAACCCCCAAACTTGCTGAACTAGGGTTCATGAGTGTTGCAATTCTTCAATTATTTATATTTGTGGTCATTAGCTATCAATATAATAAATTATTTATCCTTTTTGTAGAGAGATTCCTTTCGAGTAAGATATGATGAAAGAAAATCCCAAGGGAAAATGCGGGTCTTCTTCTGATAAGTCCATGAAAGAGAAGGAGAAATATCTGGTGGATAAGATTCAGGGGATTTTCAGTAATCTTCAGTCTGCGAGAAAGGAAAGTAGGGCTAATGACATTGTGATATTCGAGGAGCAGATGCATCTGTTGCTTCGAGAGTGGAAGGCCGAACTGGAGTCTCCAGCGACTTCCTTAGCTGTATGTGTCTTGAATTCTTGTTATACATAGCTTGCTTATTACTAAATGTTTTTTATATGTTATATATGTTGCTATTCTATAGGATGGGAGCCTTGGTTCGTTTACAGGGGATTTAGCCCAACTTTTGCAAGCAATTGAGGAGAAAGATGACGCTACGAGTCCATTAACAAACCCTGGCCAATTGAAGACGGATGCCCATCAAAATAACATTAGTCATAACAATTATCCGTATTTTCACGAGGTGGCTTTCTTTCCCTTCAAATATCTAATATTCTCTATCTGTCTCCTCCCCTCTTATTTTTTTTTATTTTTATAAATAACTATTACTATCCCGTCTCATTGTAAGTGTCCTTTTTGCAATGTTTAATGTCTTAAATTATTTGTTCCTTTAAAATCCCAATGCAACATTTGTTAATTTTTCCGCTAATATATTCTTATTTATTGTCATTCAGCTCACCTAACTACTATTAATAAGGGTATTTTGGTAAGTTAAACTCATTTTATCATTGAAATCAACACAACTAATTATTACCTTAAGAAGTGTGCATAACTTTAACAAGACACCTAAAATGAGACAGAAGGGTCTTATCCATTTTTAGGTTTATCATTTCATTGTTTGGTTTTCTTTTTCCAAATTATATATGAAATTAATTTCTGGTTTGCACGTTTGTTTCTAATCGTAAGTGTTGGAAATTCCGCCTTCATTGCGGTTCACCCTTAGTTGCCAAACTGTGGCATTTGGCTTGCCTTCATTGCAGCCTCCACCACCTTCATTATGTAAGGTTTGAAGGGGTTGATTTAGTACACCACATTGCGTAGTGATGTGACCTATGTAGTGTTTATAAAGTTTGGGCAACTGTCATCTTCCAAGCCGCTTTTGTAAGGATTAGTTAGGCCCAATTCAAATTCTAAGATGTTATCAGAGCCTATCGTAGATATGTTGTTGGGCTTCCCACATCGACCACGCTTCGGGCTCTTCCCACATCGACCACACTTCAGGCTCATTGAGACCTGAATGCGAGGGGGGTGTTGGAAATTCCGCCTTCATTGTGATCTATCCCTAGTTGCCTAATTGTGGCTTTTAGCTTGCCTTCATTGCAGCCCTTCATTGTGTGGGTAGTGTTTATAAAGTTTGAACAGTCTTTCACCTTTCAAGCTGGTTTTATAGAGGTGAGTTAGGCCAAAATCTAATTTTAACTGCAAGCAACAATTTTCATCAGAGATATCCATAGCTTTAATTTATTAATCCAATTGCTATCATGTTGTGTGAGGTCTTTTAGTTTATTCCGACAAACCTATTGGCTAACATATTTTTTAACCTTCTTGTTCACGTGGGAATTACCATAACCCTATACAAACTGTATCACTTGAGCTCAGCCCAAGTCATCTGATCATTTGATTTAGTTTATTTATAGTTGATTCAAACTTGAAGAAACCGAGCCCACTTAGTGGGATAAGGCTTGGTTGTTGTTGTTGTTGTACATTGAGTCCAACTTGTTGAGATTCATTTGTAGAGGTAAATTTACCAAAAAGGACTCTTAGAAAATATTTCTCGTGAGGACTAATGAAACATTCAACTGTTTAATAATGTTCATAGTTGTGAATGTCTAGCTGCTTCTTGATTTGATTAACCAGTTAGTGGTTAGTTGTTCCAAAAATGAAAATATTTGAACAAAGAACTTAAGGCCCCATTTACTTCTATAGGTTCCTGTTTTCATTTTCCTTGAAAATATGCCTTTGAAAATGTATTCAACAAAAAATTTAAAATGCATTTTTTGATAACTGATTTAATATTGTCTGAAATTTGGGAAGTGCCAAAGAATCATTTCAATGTTCCCCAAAATACACTTTTCTTGGTTAGCCATCCATCTTCTCACTGTCACAATTGTTTACTGTAGTAGTAGCCTTTCATCCATGGAATGATCAACTGAAAATTGAAAATGTTTATAGAAAGAAAATAGGTTCATTCTACAAAAAAGAAATCCACAATGTATAAAGAAAAAATATACATGAGCTGGGTGTTTCTGTGTTTAATCATATTCTGTGTTCTACACATCAATCTTTTATTTTTCTTGCATTTTTTAAGCGATAACAAGTGGCAGTTGTATTCTTGCAGAAATGTTTTGATAATAACCAGCCACTAAATCATACTTTTGACGGCTCTGCTTCAACTATATTCAACAATGCTTTAAATAGCTCAGACATGGCTCAGTTGGATTTTCATCCATTCAGTTTAAATGAAGATATGAATCACAACACTGTAGGTCACAACTCTGATTTGATTGGTCAGTTTGACTTGTATCAGGACCACAACCTCGGGCACAACACAGAAATAAAAAACTCAGAGTCGGGTCAATTTAGTTTTGAAGAAGGCTTTGATTGTAGCCAATTTTTCGTAGATAACGACACCACACAATTTGGAGACAATCTTATACCTAACATTCTTCCAAATATCCGCCCTCCACCTTCTGCTTTTCTAGCCCCAAAATGTGCACTGTGGGACTGTTTCAGGCCTGCTCAAGGGTTAGAACGGTGCCAGGACTACTGTAGTACTAATCACGAGCTTTTAGCAAATAGCGAGGGTCTCCCTGGCATGACTCCCATTTTGCGACCTGGTGGCATTGATATAAAAGATGGTCCTTTGTTTGCTGCTGTTCTTGCAAAGACACTGGGAAAAGAAGTGGGCATCCCTAAGTGTGAAGGCGCTGCTTCAACAAAAGCCCCCTGGAATGCTTCAGGTTAGTGTACAAGTTTATTATCCTGTTATGTATCACTAATTTTATTATTTAAATGTGACTTGGAAGAAATCTGTTTATCTATGCTTGTTGCTTTCATCTATTTTGTTAGGTTTAAAACTTGAATTGTTATTTTTTCTTTTTGCAGAGTTCTTTGACCTTTCTTTTCTTGAGGGTGAAACTATTAGGGAGTGGCTGTTCTTTGACAAGCCTCGAAGGGCGTTTGACAGTGGAACTAGGAAACAGAGATCACTCCCTGATTACAGTGGGCGTGGTTGGCATGAATCAAGGAAGCAGGTGATGAAGGAACATGGAGGACACAAGAGATCCTATTACATGGACCCCCAGCCTCTTAGTTATCTCGAGTGGCATTTGTACGAGTACGAGATCAATAACCAGGACGGTTGTGCATTATACAGACTAGAGTTAAAGCTTGTAGATAAAAAGAAAAGTCCTAAAGGAAAAGTGACTAAGGAATCTCTTAATGATTTACAAAACAAGATGGGAAAGCTAACAGCTGCCGTTCCGTCACCAGACAGTGGAAAATCTGTCAAGGGAAAATCTGAGGCCAAGTCTGAGAATAATGGCCTGCCTGAAAATTAAAATTCCCGGGTGGGACGATTTTTGCAAAAATGACTGACCAACTTGTACATATTTGAGGGTGGGCTTCAACTTATGGAAATTTCTGACTTTTCATGGACCATGGTAATGACGGGTTCTTGTGGTGGCAGGTGTTCATATTATTGTATGCTGATTTAAAGCTAGAATTTGTTAGTTTTTGCCCCCAAATTGTAATTTTTACTCTTAAATTTATTACTCAATTAACTTTGATGTGAACCTCTGTTGTTAAAAAGGAAGTTTATATGGGGTGAGAGCAATGATAAAAAAGGGATTCATGCTATAGAATGCGATACCTTATCAAAACCAAATGAGTTGGGTGGTATAGGCTTAAGGGATCTCCATAACCTGAATGCGGTTTGCCTTGTGAAGCTAAGCTGGAAAGTTTGTACGGACTCGCAGGAGCTTTGGTGTTAAGTCTTGAAAAACAAATATCATGTTTAAGATGGGATGAATATTGGGAGGGCCAAAGGAATTGACTCTAGCCTTTGGAGAGACATAACATGTTTGTTGCCAATGATGAGGAACATGGGAAGGTGGACTGTTGGGGATGGCTATTCTAGAAAACCTATGTGGGGCTCGAGTGTGTGACTTAGTTGATGAGCATGGTGCGTGGAATATTGATATCCTGCATGATTGGTTTCCCGTGCATTGGATTGACAAGCTTCGATCTTGTGTGCCTCCGTGTGCGGGGGAAGCTCCCGACGTGTTTTATTTTGTAGGTGCTGGTGATGTTAAATTTTCTGTTTGTGAAATGTTTCGAGAAATTGAAAGATATGATAACTCAAACATTGATGAGGAGTGGAAGTTGATATGGAAGTTAGCTGTGCCGGAGAGATGTCGAAGCTTTATATGGTTACTTAACATGACAGACTCCTAACAAATTACAACAAGAGTAAGAAAGGGTTAGGGGTTGCATGATGTGTTCTTTGTGGTGCGGTGTGTGAAACGACTCTTCATGCATTGGGTGACTACTCTAAAAGCATGCATGTGTGGAGAAGCTTGGTTCCTAGTGCTATTATGGAAGACTTCTTAAAGATGGATCTAAAAGGATGGATAACCATCAACTTTAACTACAATGGGGTTGGGAATGAGAATTAGAATGTTGTGTGGGCAATATCTTGTCATACTCTATGAGATTGGCGAAATAAGGAAACTCATATCGATGGTTTTGAGCGCCCTTATAAACCAATAACGAATATTCTTCAAAGAAAGAACGAGTATGCTAAAACTCAAATTCTTTATCAATTCTTGAAGGGAGAAAGAACGAGTATGCTAAAACTCAAATTCTTTATCAATTCTTGAAGGGAGAAAAAAATAAGAAGAGGAGACATTCGATAGCAACCTCTAGTGGCGAATATGGTAAAGCTAAATACTGATGGTACTAGCAAAAATAATGGGATGGCTGGTTGTGGAGGGCTTGTTAGAGATCACAGAGGTGCTTAGAGAATAGGTTTTGCAAAATTCCTAGGTGAGTGTAATGCTTTACTTGCGGAATTCTGGGGGGTATTTGAGGGCCTTAAATTAACTAAGACTTTGGGAATGAGAAGGGTGGAAGTTAATGTAGATTTTACGGTGGTGATCAAGGCTATTGAAGAAGGCATGATAAGACACTTAGAGTGTGTTGTTATACTTCGAAATATCAAGCAACTTATTTACGAGCATGAGGTTGTGATTATATCTCATTCGTACATAGATGCGAATAGATGCGCATATATGTTAGCTAATCATGGTTGTACGACGAAGGTTTCCTCTACTTTCGAAGATTCTCCGAGTTTTTTGAAGTCTTTCTTGGAGGATGATGCTTTAGGAATTTTAGGCTCTATAAAGCTTACTTTGTAGTTCTTTTTCTTTTGGATTCCGAACCTCTCTTTAACAAAAAAAAAATGCATTTTGCCGCTGTAGAATTGTTGGAATTAAACTTCAATCTTGGAGCTAATTCGAATCAATATTAATGAACTAAAATTAATCTTTTCTATTGATTTCTCCTTTTGTTCTTCACTCGAGTGAGTCAACTAATATTGGTTGCAAGATAATTTATGCATAACAGAAATTTGAGAAGGAAGAAAGATGATTTGGAAAAGAAAAGAGAAATTAGGGTTTGAGAGAAAAGGGAAGAAGATAATTCCTTTGAGATACCTCAGTATCCTCTTTGTATTTGTAAGATGAGACATCTTTAACAATGAAAGGTTGGTCTGAATGCGTTGTTTTGGTTTCTCTTGTCATGCATGAAACCAAAATTTTTTTAAGTTTATCTAAAAAATGATGGGAGTTTTTGTATGCATCACAAGGAAACAAAGGAGCACACTAAGATGGATGTAACAAGGTTCTTAATCAGAACTAAGTATCATATTGTAGAATTCTTCTTCTTCATTTTCTCTCTTTAATGTTGTAAGATATTGTCTATTGAGAGTAACAATGTTATATGTACTTTGACATTGTCGTCTTTGTCAATTTGAATTTGAAGCTTTAGTCTTCTTATATAGCCTTCAGATAAAAGAGTTATTATAAGGATAAAGAAGTATTTTCTCCTTCCAACAGTTGATTCTTAACGAATATATTCAAGAGAGGTTTGGAACAGTATGAAACATCACTTTCCTTAGACTGCTGCTTACAATAGTTAGCATAAAATGTGGGAGACAACTTTTTTGAATAGCACAACCAATATCATGAAAGTGGAATTTATGGTGTATTGTTTATATTGTATTCTTCTTGACTAAGTTTCTTGATCTTTATCTTATGATGATGTACTTCTGATTATGAAGTATTAAGCTTGGAAGAGATCAATCATTATCTTCGTTCTTCTGATGAATGACTGATGAGTAGTTCAAAAATTACTTTATAGTGGATTAAAAGCTGGTGGTTAACAGTCTGAGTAGACATCTTCCTAACATACATCACATGATGGCTTTGAGGGTAGGATTTTCTCTTGTACTTCTCAAAACCTGGAACCTTGAATTTGACAGGTATCTTCACATTAGGCACAAGGCAAATTTTGTGAGCATTCTTCCCAAAGAGCTATTTTCCCCTCAGAGCTTTGATCTCCTTCTACATTTTATGGAATTCATCCATCCTATCATAAACACTAAGGCTCTCACTTGGAGCAACAACATGATACACAAGCTTATCAACATGTGGAGCAATATGAACTACTGGAAGAGGAATAGTCATAACTAGTTACACAACATGAACCTCAACAGTATGCTGATAACCTTCGGGAGTAAAGTTCAAAGGAAAGGCCCATGGAAAACCATGTGGCATATGATATTGTGAAAGACTAATTGGGGTCACAAAAACAGGAACTGATAAGACCTCAGAAATAGCGGTAACTTAAGGCTGAGTCCGAGTTGCATGAGGAGAAGGAAGAGGATGAGGTGGTGGCTGATTATGAGAAGCCGCCAAATATTACACCAAAGCAGTCAGCCTTTCCATTCTAGACCTCAAAGTAGTCACCTTTTCACAGAGATCCTGATTCTCTTTCTCAATATGGTCCATCTTCCTTTGGTAATTAGCTCGAGTATTGTACTAATGAGGAAATTTGACTGAACGACCAAGAGAAATGAATAAGACCCTTGAAAAACCTATATAATGCAAAACCAAATGTAGGATGATGCATGATATGCAATATAAATGATTGTTTTTATTAATTTTCAAAGAACTTAAGAAGTTATAATATTTGCAAACATAAAAAAAATTGAAATACTGAAAATCTTCATTTCATTAATAATTGGAAGGATTACAATTTGAAGTACAAAATTTCAAAGAATCCTAAACAAAATAAAAGAGAAAAGAAAGATAGAATCTAAGGGTCCTAAGGATCCACATCTGAAGACGATCTAACTTCATGCTAATTCTCCTCTTAATCATCATAATCTGACTCTCAGAAGAAGACTTTAACTGAGCATTCTCAACCACAAGTTTGTCAACAATATTCTTCCAAGCACCTGAGGTAGGAAGAATATTATAATACTCATGAATACTAGGAATTTGCTGAATGCTAGAGGAGAATAAATCCTCTTTCTCCTTCTGTCTTTCCACAACATGTTGCTCAAGTACCTCAATCAAATCATCATTCTCCTTCAATTACTTCTGCAATTCTATCTTCTCAATATTTAAAGCATGTAACTTGCTCTCCCAACTGTCTCTCTCCTGCTCCATCCTAGCCAAAGCTTCTTGAAAATCTTCCCTGTTTTCAATGATAATGGTAGGAGATGATGGTGTAGCAACATGGAATAATGGCTTCTCAAGAGAAAAAGGCATCTTAAGATTACAAGCTCTAGCATGAACCCACTGAGTGTAAGGCTCAAAAGCAATACAATGCTTCCTCCCTAACTGGTCTTTGCCTTTCCTGTGAATTTTTACCAAGCAAGCACAACCCTCTTCTTCAGATCTTAGTTCTCTTTTTCATTAAGTAAAAAGAAACCCACTAACAGAATGTTGTCAGGTTTGTCCTTTAAAGGATATCCAAACTGGCGCCTAGCAAGAATAGGGATGTAGTTAATCCCTCCTTGTATACCAAGAAGAGGTGCATTAGGTAATTCCCCATGACTATCAATAGTCACTCCAATTTCATATGCTGAATTATACCAAATCATATCTGCCCGAGTGAGGGACATATGCCTCTAAGACCATCTAAGCTTGTCTTCGTTATCTTTGAAGAGTCTGGACTGTGGGAAGTGTGAAATAAACCACTTGTACAGTAAAGGTGCACAACACGTGATGGCTCTATAACCCTTGAGAGTCTTATGATGAATGGAATGGTAAGCGTCCCCAAGTAATGTAGGTATTGGGTTCCCAATCAAAAATATCCAGATGTCATTAACATCAACAAAACCGTCAATGTTAGGGAATAATACTAGGCTAAAGATAACTAAGGCAAGAATAGCCTCAAAATTCCCTATACTGCCAGCACTGGAAAAGGTGAAAGCTTTCTCCATCAAGAATTCAGAAGTCAACCCTTGAATACCTCCTTTAACAATAAGTTTACCCTCGTTGTAAGACTTCCTAACATGAAGAGTACTTGCAATAACTTGGGGATTAGGAATTTCCTCTAAACCACTAAAAGAAATCTTGTCTGAGACAGGCAACACACCTAATAGAATACTCCTCCAAGGTTGAAATAAGTTAATAATCAAGAAAAGTGAAACAATGATACAACATATCATATAACTGAACTATAGTATTAAGAATCCCATATGTAACATCAGTAAATAGGATAGAAAAAGCCTTTTGTAATACCCTTTGAAATCCACAGGATTAGATACAAAAGATGCTAGCCTTCTCAACTCTAGTAAGTTAGGAATATCGAAACTATCCTTTCGAGTACTCCTTCTTCCAAGATCCATAACAATACCTGTGATGTTTGCAAAGAAAGATTATAAGTCCCTTGAAAACCAGGTGAAAATGATGTTTCATGAATGCATGAGTTCATGGTTATGCAGCAATCACAAACAAGATAGGTTCAAAGGTTTGACGTCACGAGAATGGAGTCAAGGTTTAGAAATATCCACAAGGTATGAACTAAGGGTTTAACCCCCCTATAGAACAAGGTTATAAAAAGTTCCCAGAGTCTTCAATATTCTTTTGTATATTATCAGTCTACTGATTACTCAGGAATCAATAATATTCTCAAGAGAAACTCCTCTGAGTGTAACATCGTATATCAACTATATCAGGTCTACACCCAGATAGTCACCGTATTACATCCTATAAAGGCCAAGATGGGTTAAAAGGGTTCTACGGTCCTCATCTTCTCAGGATCTCAAGTCCAAAAGTAATAATGCCATTACGACTACTTGCAACAACAAATACTACCCTCAAAAGGGAATCCATTGGGTGGGGTTCTCAAGTCAACATGTTGAGGATTGCTCCAGACATATC